AATGAGCAGTGGCCTTCATTTCTCCATAGACCCATCTACATCTTTGAGATCTATTCCTATTAGTATTTCTATAAACCTGACAGGTCGTAATAAGGTTGTTTCCCAATGAATTGTCCCCAGATTGGTGTTCAAGGTGAAGCAAATCATGAATGAAGGCACATAAAGGTGTCCCAGGAGAATGTTATAGGATCCAATCTGGGTCGATCACTGGGACCAAAGGTTTTTTGTCTTCCGAGCTTTTGCACTCATGCTGGCAACTTCTCTGTAGAAATCAGAAGAAATCAGTCTTTCAGATCCAGAGTACAATATCTTAATAAAGATGGTATTGTCTGTAAAATACAACATTACTACTCTTTAGGACCTTTTTGTTGCATCCATGGGCACAGAGTAAGATCTCAAATGGGCCTGAAAAAAACAACAAATTACTTGCCACGTTATTTCCTCCATTTGCACTTTAGCTCTCTGTTTCAACTCTCTAAGCCAAGGAAATGAATAGAATAGAATAGAATAGAATAGAATAGAATAGAATAGAATAGAATAGAATAGAATAGAATAGAATAGACAGAGTCGGAAGGGACCTTGGAGGTCTTCTAGTCCAACCCCCTGCTTAGGCTCTGATTGAGCTGTTAGAGTTATGCTGCTTAGTAATTGAGTAACCCATATTCAAATCATGCTGATTTGGAGATTTTATAGCCACTGTCTTTTGATCTACATCAAAAGGCAGTCCTAAAGAAAATACTAGACTATAAATCCATGCATGTGATCATTAACTCCTTGGAGAAAAGGGATAAAGATTAGTAGAACAAATTAATGAGCGTTCATAATAGCAAAATGAGGATTGCAACTGAATCCACTTGAGAGGCACCTGAAACTAATCATACTGTAGTGTGTATCAAAACATTACTTGCATTTTCAGATATGTTTCCAAGCACATGTTTGTAATATTCACACTATACAAAAATAAATACTCCAGCTGCAGAAAGCAACTGAATATCTCACTGGAAAGGAAATATGCATGGCTTTATGGTCAACATAGTATGAAGAGTATCACATGGAGAATGTGATCATTGTACTTTAAGCTGCAGAAAAGCAGCCATTTTGCAACAGCAACAACAATAAAATGTGATGCCATAAAGACAAACAGATTTATTGAGGCCGAAGTTTTGTGAAAGCACAACACTACAAAGGCATATGCTACAATAAATCTGTTAGCCTTTATGTTGCCATAAGATGCTTTGTTCTTCGGCTGTAATTTAGAGCTCACAATTCATAAAAGTACTTATATATTATATTTGTATCCTGCCCTGCTTCCAAGGATCAGAGCTGCATTTTAATTGTACAGGAACTCTGGAGGCTACATTTATTGTGTTCAACACTGTCCTGTTTTGGTCTGCCAAAGTTCACAGGCAGGTCAGAAATGTTCAACTTGAAAGCAGTCTAGGACAAGTGAACCCAGATGGTCAGGATAAAATGAAGAAGGCTGGGAATGGCATTTTCAGGAATATGAATTGAGCTCTAGACAGATTATATGTATCTTGAACTCTTCTCATTTCCTGGAAGAGGTGAAGAGTCTTAAAGCAAGGGTGGTAAAGTCTGGCATTCTGTCTTCGTTTCAGAGTAAGCTCTAATTAGTTTGCTGGGATACATTAAGACCCTCTCAAATCAGGACAAATGGTCCCCAAGGTTCTTGTTTCTGATGAAAGATAATATGAAACATTTCTGTTTACAAACTGTAGTAGTACTTTATGAGATACTGACTAGAAACTAAGTGACTTTATCCCATTTCCATATTTGTGGCACCTTCTCTATCTATGTTCTCCTTCAGAATTCTGTATGTGTGTGTGTGTGAGAGAGAGAGAGAGAGAGAGAGAGAGAGAGGGGAGAGAGAGAAGGGAGATTATTTATTCAATGACTGTTTCATTTGCCAGCCCAGCAGCATCCCTTTCTCCCTTCTATGAAAACCTTTTCCTGTGGAAAACTAATATCCTATTTTCAGGTTCTTCCCATTAGCTGATTAAAACAATGTGTTGTCTGGATGGCCTTTGTGTCTCCTTAATGGATCGACAGAGACACATGATTTCCTGTACCATGTTGCAGCCCCCTCCAAAGACCTGAATTGCAGCAGGCAATTTTGCCAAAATGGGAACAAAAGATGTGCACGCTGGCTTTCCCCAAGCTGGTGCTCTCCCAGAAAACCACGCTGGCTGGTAAATGTTGGGATCTGACCAATTCCACTCATGTAGGATATATCAGGCCAGGGAAGCAAAATTATCAGAGTTGCAAACCCAACCTATCTGAAGGGTTTCAGACTGTAGGAGAGCAGTTCTGGGAATAGCACATCCTACATCACCAAATCATACCTGTTAAATTTAATCAATCTCTTATCAGTAATGTTTATAATATTTAATACGATATACAATCATTATTATTTTAGATAATAAGAATTTCCATGTACACTACATATTGCAAGTCATTCCCTCAGTAACTGATGCTGGCACTGCAACAATGCAAAACCTGTTACAAAACCTGCTATACATTATCATGCTCTTTCAGAGTATTTAGGTGTAAATAAGCCTTTTGGACAGTCAAGCATCTTTAGCCTGCAAAAAAGATAAATCTTGGATGAATAAAACTGGTTTATATGGTATTGTTGAATTCAGTGGTGGGATTCAAATATGTGAACAACCGGTTCTCTGTGTGGATGCCGCTTCCGGAAGTCCATTCTGGGCGTGGGCAACAAAAAAGTAGCTACCAGTTCTGCCGAAGTGGTGCAAACTGGCTGAATCCCACCACTGGTTGAATTGAAAGATATTTGCACCATCATGTACTGCTTTGCCAAGGCATAGGTGAATGCAATGATATATTAAGATATACTCAGCGTACATGTAAGGTTATACTTTCACAGTGGGTATAAAGAGTCAGCAGAAGATCCAAAATCAAATGCATTGTAGTTTGAAGTCACTATGCTGCACCCGAGACTTAAATCCAGCCCCCCATGAATTCCGTTGACTCTTATCTAGTACCAATTTGAATTTGCCTTGGCAGTTAGTAGATCATATTCTGGTGTATAAGTAGCATGAAAAGGAGTATTTTTGAACTCTATTCCTGCTCCTGGTTTCTTGTGCCTGAGAAATAGGCTCCTTTCTGATTGGTAAAATCATAGGATAGCTTTAGAAATAGGCACTGTGACATTTGCCCCATTTGAAAAAAAAAGAATTCCAGGACAAAGAAGCAGGGTACTGCACTCTAAGATGTTTATAGGTCATACCTGCTCAGTTTGAGTCCCATTTATTTGTCATTTGTGAGTTTTATGATAACACTAAAACTTTGGTTTTCTGAGAGTGTATTGATAGCTTTTGTTCTGTACAGAATAAAGCTAGTGCTCTAAGTGCTTTTCTGGTTCCCATCTGTGAAATAGACAGTAATAACTACATTGTTTGGCATACTGTAATGCTGAAATTGCACAATCACCTAAAATAAATGGATGATGGGCTGAAATAGCAAGTGCTTGGATTATGGATTTAAATATAGATTAAAAAATAGGAACTAATATGTAATCTTGTCTTACACCTTTATAAGTTGGGACTGCATTCGATAAACATCCCCAAGGAATACATCTAATTCTCAGGGAGAGTAGAGCCACATTTGAAAATATTCCCAATATCCCAAAGGTGCTTTTCCAAAAGGCAGCTTGACTTAGTTGGATATTTTTCCTTTGAAAACTTTTTGCTTCTCATCCAAAAAGCTACTTTAGTTCTAACTGAATAGTGGGAATGTTTATAGTTACCTTACCATTCATTTAGAACTGAAGAAGCTCCTTGGATGAGAAATAAAATGTTTTAAGGCGGGAAAAAAAACAAGAAAGCACAGTTGCCTTTTGGAGAAGCACCTTTGGGACAACCATGGCTGGATGATTGAGAATCTCTATAGACAATTCCTAGTATAAGCACTGGAACATTAAGAGAAAAAAAATGTAACGTAGAACATCCTTAACAGCCTTAAGTCCCCTTTTGAAATGATGGGAAAAAGCAAGCAGAGTCATACATGATATTTGACAGGCATGGCCTCCAGTAGACGATGCACCAGATGTTCATGCAGCTTAGTTCTTTCAGCTGAGTATCTCTAAAGTGCATTTTCACTATGAATTAACAGGAGTAGGTGTCATAACAAAATGCTTTTTCATCTCAAAGAGGCTTGAGATAGAAATGGCATAATGTTTTGACAAGTAACCAAAACAATAACCAAAGGAATATTTAAAAAGAAAAAAAATGTAACCCAACGATTTTGAATAGGCTTCTTAAATAGTTTAAGATTCTCTCCAAACAGATGTCTTGCAGGTTTGCTGAATTCTGAGCCAGGAGAAAAGCAGTTGCAGCCCCATCATGACTGTGAATATCAGGATTTTTTCTAAAATAGAAGTCTAGACTATGTATGCCTTAATTATTTTCTGTTCCACAAACATAGGGATGACTAATATTATAATTGACAGGTTAGTTGATCAGCTACAGAAATAACTTTCCATGGCAATTTTAAAATCAAGCTGGCAGTTCCAAGGTTATTATCTGTTATTTATGACTGAATACAGCTACTTTACCTTTTAATATTGCATTCTTCTTGTGCCATAAACAAAGCAATTTAAACATGTTCACCTCTGACAGTGTGGACAACAGTGCAAGAGATGCTTTAATTCGTCCCTTCAATATTTGCATGGGTGCTGTTGAAAAGGAAACTGACTTAGACATTTTACAAGTTGCCAGCAGAAAAAAAGAAAAAATTCCTCATCAACACCAGCCTTGTGGCATAAGGTTTAGCCCAGTTATCATTATTGCACATCACATGGGTGTAGAAGGGCCCCAAAATCAAAGTTTGTCCATTAGAGATGTATTTATTTTTACAAGGATGGGAAGATAGGAGAGGACATTTACTTCACAAATAGTTTCTGTGAAAGGAAAGCCATGTCTTTACTTGCTTTTTTCTGGTTTTGTTGTCTCCCTTCATAGGTAAATGGAAAAGATTTGTCCAAGGCAACTCACGATCAAGCAGTAGAAGCCTTTAAAACAGCTAAAGATCCCATTGTAGTGCAAGTCCTGAGAAGAATGCCACGCACCAAAATCTTCAATCCTTCTCATGAGTGTCTCTTGGTAGATATAGGCACTCAGACCGAGATTACCTTTGAACATATCATGGCTCTAACCAAAATGGGCTCACCTACCCCACCAGTCCTGGATCCATACCTCTTACCTGAAGAGTAAGTACTGTGTTCTGTAATGCTGGAATTTCAGTTAATGCTATGGGTGCCATTACATCAGGGCTCCCCAACCCCCAGTCCACAGACCAGTACCGGGCCACGGCATGCCAACAACCGGTCCGCACAAACAAGCAAAGCCCCATCCACGTAATGCAATCAGCACACAAAACCACACTCCCTCCAGTCCTCGGAAAAACCTCTCTCCACGGAACCAGTCCCTGGTGCCCAAAACATTGGGGACCTCTTCATTGCACACCAAAAATAATTTAATTACATAGAAGGGCTCAGTTTCAAACATTGGTGTTCTCAACAGCTGAAATGCTAACATCGAATGCTGTGATCCCAGAATTCAGCCTCCTCTAACTGAGCAATCTTGTTTTTGTATGTTACAAATGGGCAATATGTAAGCCATAGATCAACTTACATGTTAAAAGCAATTTCAGATTGCATCTGATGAAATTCAGCAACATGATTTCCCATTCAAAACACACAGACACACCCAAAAGAGTGAAAAATATGAGTTTACCTATTAGGCTATTTTACCCTTTAAATCTGCACTCTTCATAAACAAAAACCCTGAATCCTTATGACATCACACCCACTAGGCATGTTAGTGCATTCCTCTGCAAATTTGGGACCCGTCCATTCGGCTTACTAGATGGAAAGAAAGAATCACATTTCTTCATCTGCTTAAATCCTTCAGTTTGGCAATCCAGGTCAGTTATCTGGATATCTAAACTCCAAGCCACAGTCTGCCCAGTAGCAAGCCAATTAAAAATAATATAGTATGTCATACATTCGTATTAGTATTACTTCATACTAATACGCAGTATTACATATTGCCAAGACCTATAAATGAGAGACAATAATTCTCTGAATAACAATTTAGAATGTCTCAAGTGTAAATATTTCTGCCATTTTTCCATTAAGCCAACATAACTACAAAAACCATAGGAATGAATGTTGAGTTATCAAGTAATACATTTGTGTGTGAACAAATTTGTTCTTGAACATGTCCTTATTTCAGATGAGGATTTCTAAAGAGCTATTTCTGTGAAATCTTCAGGGAGAAACTATATAGAAGCATTTATATAAAATATTTCTCCTTTAGTGTGTTCACAATATATATATGTATATGGAATAGAAATTATTTTAATAAAAATGTAATCATTCATATATATGTGTGTGTGTGTGTATGTATATGTATGTATGTATGTATATATGTATGTATTTTTATTAAAATAATTATTAAAATCATTTCTATTCCAAATAATCATTTTTCACCATAACACTCAATGAAATTAGGAATGGTCAATTAGCTTATCATAAGCAATTGAACTTTTAAATGAAAGCAAAATCACAGCAACTCAGAAATAGCAGTAAAAGCATATAATTGAACCACCCAAATTAATTTAAAAGACTGAGTAATTAAAAGCCTCAACAAGATTTTCTTTGCTTGGCAATTGAAACTAGAATGAAAGAAGGGCAAACTAACCTTTTACTGGGTGCAGTTATTGAAAAAACAACACATTTCAGCAAAGAGACACCTTTTTTGGCCAATGTCCCAATAGAAACAAGCCCATATGAAAAAATATAATTCTGTGGATTTCCCAGGATTACTCTCGCACTACCAATTTGAAACTGCAATAATTCAGGCAATACTAGTTAACAATTTACCGCTTCATGAGTAGGAAACATCGTGCTGATTTTTTTAATGGAAAACATATTGCTGACCAAACCAGTATGCTCACCTAGCTGTGTTTCCATAAACATATCTAGAGTTTAATTACTACTAGCCCACGATGTGCAGAAACAATCTGGATGGCTACAGACACAGTGAACTGTATTTCTTTCCATCTAGTGGTCATTTCTGTAGTCAAGATGTGGCAGGCCTAATGGCTTTGTACCTAGACATAAGTAAAAAAAGTATAATTTATTTATAAAAATATTTAATTACCGCTAAAGGATTTACATGCATAAATAAACAAAACTAAGGAAATCACCATCTGTCTAATTGATAATTTAGCAAAAAAAAATTGTATTCACTACTAAATAAATAGATAAATAAATAAACTCTATCAAATATATACTGTAAATCACTCATATTTTAGGTGGGGAATGATGGCCCTTTTAGGACTTAACAGAATAACAGAGCTGGAAGGGACCTAGGAGGTCTTCTAGTCCAACCCCCTGCCCAGGCAGGAAATTCTATACCATTTCAAACAAATGGCTGCCAATCAATTCTTTAAAACTTCCAGTGTTGGAGCATTCATAACTTCTGGAGGCAGGTTGTTCCACTGGTTAATTGTTCTAACAGTCTGGAAATTTCTCCTTAGTTCTAGGTTGCTTCTCGCCTTGATTAGTTTCTGTCCATTGTTTCTTGTCCTGCCTTCAGGTGCTTTGGAGAATAGCTTGACTCCCTCTTCTTTGTGGCAACCCCTGAGATATTGGAACACTGCTATCATGTCACCCTCCCTAGTCCTTCTCTTCATTAAACTAGACATGCTGGCTCAGGAACTCTGGGAGTTAAAATCCACAAGTCACAAAGGGACCATCTTTCCCCACCTATAATAATAATAATAATAATAATAATAATAATAATAATAATAATAATAATAATAATAATAATAATAATAATAATAATAATAATAATAATAATAATAATAATAATAATAATAATAATAATAATAAAAGTTGGAAGGGACCTTGGAGGTCATCATTCCATCATGATCTTCTTCCTTGGGTGGAGTTTAGGAAGGCTGGAATATTATTTATTTACTTATTTAGAAGATTTATAAAGCCACCTACTTGCCCACAGTGACTCTAGCAACACAATTAAAAAGAGAAAACTTTTCAGCAGCCCTTTCAATATCACCGCAAGCATAAAAAGTCTTCCAAGTATTTTCTTCTTCTGTGAAAAAAAACAATCCAATGTCTTTTTTTTAATCATACCAAATGATAGATAGAAATGATCACAGTTTTTTCCTATGGTTTCAGTTCAGTTACTCCCTTTTGACTCAATGATCTTTTCAATGGAAGGTGAGCCTGCTGCTGAACAGTCACCACACAATTTCCCGTTGATATTTTTTTTTTCAAAAATACAACAACAGCTATGTGAAGACAGAAATTGGCATACTGCATCTTACAGACTAAACCTCTCAGGACAGATGCACAGATGGAAAAGAAGGAGCAAAAATCCATCTTTTTCAGTGAAATCATTAATCACAGCACTACCCTCTCTATCTGTTGGCAGATTTTTTTTAAAAAACGGGGGGAAATGTGTCCCCAGTCATCCAAGGTTGCCTCCTCTGCAATACAATAGACGTGCTCCCTGTTCCTCTTTTCTCCCATCTTATCATTTACACAATACCTTTTCCCAAGCTTTACCTCCCCTAAAGTTGTATCTTGCCTGATTGTGAACTGGCACTGTTAACTGGTAGTCTGTTCAAGACTATTGTGGAATAAATGTTCTTTTGTCTAGTGGCAGCAAACCACACCTGGAGGGGCCATTATATTAAGGAGGCAAGACAGCTTTCATATTTGGTTGCTTTTAGGGGATGGGCCATTGTTTAATGTGCTAACAACCTCAGTGCCATTGATCACAGGCAATGCATCAGTCTGGATGCATGCCTGACATATTAGTGATGATCTGTCATGTGACTGGGGGAGGATTAATATGCTAATTAGGATCGGGAGAGATAACCTAAACTGTGCTTTATTTTCCCAGGCATTCATCAGGGCATGAATACTATGACCCTAATGTTTACATTGGAGGCATTCATCAAGACATGGACAGAGAGGACCTAGAATTAGAGGTATGAGTAATAACTTGAAGCAGTCATTTAATATACAAAGGTTTTAATATATTTTCGCGTGCTACCACCATTACCGCTGCAATCAAATTAGGCATTACATTATCCCAGCTTATTGGAAATATGCTTCTAAATAATCTATTTTGTTCAGCAGTTTGCACTACAAAGAATAGGAAATTAGTCTCATTTGCTTTGATATTTGGTTAATTAAATATTACATAATTAAAGGGTAAGAAGCCACGTTTTCAGCTGGTTTATAAGCACAGATTTCTCGCTATGTATTTCAGATAAAAAAGACTGGTAATCAAATTTGGAAGCTGGAGCATTCATTTATAATGTTTCTGTGAATATATGGATTTTCACTTGGAAATTTAGTCCTACAGCATAGCCCTCCTCATTTTTGTGAGGAAATGAAGAAAGTAAAGGAGTTGACCTTGATGAAAATATGTAAGGACTATTATCTAAGCAAACAGGGTTGAAACATTTTTAAGCCTGGGAAACAAGATAATCATTCAAAGTGGGTCAGTGTCAGCCTTGTGAGCTAGTCTAGAGAAGAAACACATCTAAAAATACTAGCTCTAACTTGTAAGGTTACATTAACACAAACCTGAAAGCCTAAAAGTACAAGTTCCCCCCCTCCTCCTTCTCAGTCCAAAAAACTATGGAGGGTCGCTTTTGAGACATTGGCCACATCCCCATTGCTTTGGCAGGCTACACTGCCTCTCATCTAATCATTGTTTAGTCTGTGGATCTTTCTTCCATCTCCCAACATCATGCTCAACAATAATAGCATTGCACTCAGACACCACCCTGATTCACTGCAGTATGTGGGAAGGAAAGAAGTAGAGCACAATCAATCAGACTTTCAAGATCTTGTTACAGCCAATCTCAATAAAAGTAGTTCTAGCTTTCCTGTAGAGTTCATTTCTTGGTCTGATCTACTTAGTGGTGTTGAAAAGGGAAAGGAAAATGATAATGTCAATTCACTGATTGGCATTATGGGAGAACTGGTAGTCTTGTTTTAATTGGCCATTCCCCATTATTCAAGAAAGAGGGCAATGCAAGGAAAGCTCACCTCAGAAAATTCTGAAATAAATACATAGCTTCCTCTTCCAAACTACTGCTTTGGTCACCACGATGTAAAAAAGATGTTGAGACTCTAGAAAAAGTACAGAGAAGAGCAACAGAGATGTTTAGGGGACTGGAGGCTAAAACATATAAGGAACAGTTGCTGGAATTGGGTATGCCTAGTTTAATGAAGAGAAGGACTGGGAGTGACATGATAGCAGTGTTCCAATATCTCAGGGGCTGCCACAAAGAAGAGGGAGTCAAGCTATTCTCCAAAGCACCTGAAGGCAGGACAAGAAGCATGGATGGAAACTAATCAAGGAGAGAACTACCCTAGAACTAAGGAGAAATTTCCTGACAGAACAATTAACCAGTGGAACAACCTGCCTCCAGAAACTGTGAATGCTCCAACACTGGAGGTTTTTAAGAAGAGACTGGACAGCCATTTGTCTGAAATGGTATAGGGTTTCCTGCCTGAGCAGGGGGTTGGACTAGATGATCTCCAAGATCCCTTCCAACTTTTTATTATTATTATTATTATTATTATTATTATTATTATTATTATTATTATTACTACTACTACTACTACTACTACTACTACTACTACTACTACTACTACCACCTCCTGTCAGAGAAATAGGGGTAACATGATAGCATTTGAGACGCTGCCACAAAGAAGAGGGGGTCAAACTATTCTCTAAATCACCAGAGGGCAAGACAAGAAACAATGGTTGGAAACTGACCAAAGAGAGAAGCAACCTGGAATTAAGGAGAAACTTCCTAACAGTTAGGACAATTAACCAGTGGAACAGCTTGCCTTCAGAAATCGTGGGCGCTCCATCACTGGAGGTTTTTAAGAAGAGACTGGACAGTCACTTGCATGAAATAGCATAGGTTCTCCTGCTCAAGCAGGGTTCTGGACTAGAAGATCTCCAAGGTACCTTCCAGCTCTATTCTGTTCTGTTCTATTCTATTCTATTGAATAGATTTATTACCTAGCTCCAAACTGACAAAAACCAGGGATCTTCTTTATATACAGAAACAGTTGATCTTCAATAAGATCCAATATCAGCACTGTAATTTGATCACTGTGATATGAAATGTGTCATTATTTTAATCCTGCTTAGCAATTGGGCCTCTAATATCAAAGATGATCACCTTTCAGGCATATAAAATGCCCCTATGATCTATGAACATTGCATAATTCCCTCATGTCTCAACCTGGTGCCTTCTAGAGACATGAGGCCAGCAATTTCCGGAACACTTTGATGAAAACTCTTTAATTTCACAACATATAGACTCAACCATAGTTTCAAATGGGAAACTGTGAGCACCCTAGAGCAAGCCAAGTCCAAAAATGTCAGAGAATTCCTGGAGGCTTGGCAGTCAGATAAATTGGCCCTTAACAGGAACATAGAGGTAAATAACATCTACAAAACACTCAAAAAAGACAATCAAAAAGCTCAAAAGGAAACAAACAGACCTGAAACACATCCTCAACAACAATCAACACCCCTGTGAGGAGAGATTAACACCAAGATCAGCACTAGACTAACAATCAAGAAGTAAACAATTCCCCAATTAAGAACTACCAATGCAGACAAACGAGCTAATCAGCAGCCTAATCAAGGAACCAAGAACACTCCCACCAACACTGACAGGGCACACCACTACTAGAGCAAAGCCACTCATTTGTAGCACTTCATTCTAGTTTGGTAATGAAATGTCTGCAAGAAAACAAACAAACTTTGAATTGCTCTTCTGCAAGAAAACCACCAAGCTCAGAGAGCACCAAGGACCCCACAGATGAACCTTGAGCTACAAATATTCTCTTCTACCAGTAGCAGAACACTTTGCTTTCCTCTGCTTTCTGTAACCAGCAGCTCTATTCAGGCATTCTCCAGCTATACTTAAGATTTCCAGATCTAGCAACAAATTGCTATTGCCATTATACAGCTGCAGAACAAGTGAAACAAACAGCTACTTTCACGGCTGGCCCTTTGACTAACACATTAATTAATTTAATTCAATTCTTAGCATTTGACTTCAGAAAAGTTCTTAAGTTTCTATTTTTTATATAAATAAAAAAGCTCTTTAATGCGAGCAGCAAAATATCAAGGATATGTGTACTGATTAAAGGGAGTTTCTCATTTAAAGAGAATCTTTCTAATCCCACAAGACCAAGATCAATTGAAATTTCGAGTCAGTGTGTTAAAAATGCTCAGGCAGTTCTAACCACATTGTTTGCTTATTGACTAATTTGTCTCAAATAGACCACCGGGCCGCCACTTGCTTCATCGACTTAAGCAGGAATGTTGAAAAGAATGTAAAATATCAAACCAAACCACCTGGGTTCATTGCTCTATAAAACACCCTCTGACTTCCAGTCCATCATCTGGGCTTTTATGGCCTTCCTAATTCACAATTAATGACTTAACAGATATTGTCAACAAGTCCCCTGTGTAAATGACTATCGCTCCTGCTAGAATGCAGTGAAATGCACTAGAATTGTCTACCAATCTGTACAAGCTGATAGCAGTCACAAGTATTGAGTAGCTGCCAAGAACTGTCCACTAAAGACAACAGAAGCAATCACAGCTCTGGATTGAAAACTGGAAGTCTAAAGTTGCTGGGTATTCAGCAAGATATTTTATCACTGCTCTCAAAAAGTAAAAATTAAGGTTTTAAAAAAATGCAAGCACAAATGGCACTATGACAATATGCATTGAGGTCTCTTATTTTGAAACTTCATTCAAAAATGACCAAGGCCAGAAAAATTATAAACAGTAGTACTCATTTCTATGAAACTTAGCATGACTGCACATTAGTTGGGAAGTATTAAAATACCTGGCAGCTTGTGATGGATTTGGGGAAACAAAGGCAGTAAGTAATGCTTAAGGATCATTTCAAGTCAGTTTTGATAACTCGCTAAGATATACCATAATAGCAAATAGCAGCTTAACAAGGCTTGATCCTGCCTTACTGGAAACAAACCTTAGAACACGCACCTGTAGCTTCATCTGTAGAACATTATTCATTTAAAAAAAACAGTATTGGAGAAAAGAATACAATTAATTCACCATTGCCAGATCTTATTTATGATTGCTCAGAAATAACTTTTCTGTGAGATCTATTCCCTACCAATATATCTCAGATGATAACCCTCATTTGCATTCACGAAGAGTTGTATTTCCCTGGATGTTTTAAAGGCTTCTGAAATTACTTAAGGAAACACGAGTCAGACAACAAGGAGCTGACTTTGTGGGACTCTGGGTCACAAGGAGTTAGAAATTTAAGCCATTTCTTAAGTATTACCATCCATGCTTTCCTACTGTTGTTTGTATCTTCAGCTGCTGCTACAATTTTTGCTTATTATAAGCAAGATTCAAAATATTAACCAAGAGCAGAGAGTCAGGGAGATATTTGGTATTCTGGATCCGATCTGTGAGTATTTTGATTAAGACTGCCTAATTTTTATTCCATGTGTCTGAGTGAAAACTACAAATCATTTATTTTTTACTTCATTTCTATTGTTGTGGCCAAACATGGTATGATGCTCAATCCCAAGGCTGTAGAAAACCCCTGGTACCTTGGGTCTTGGTATGAGAGCTTGATCAGAGATATTAAATCTTCTAGTTACAGAGAATTCTCAAACTTCCATCATACCTCCCATTGCCCAGAAGGATTTCAATCTGTAAACTAGTAGCAATGTTACAGGATTAATTTCATGGAGCTGACTACATAGGCACTGTATTTGCTGCACATCTAACAGCTTCACAGAGATGTTTTCTAAAGTCAAGAATGTGCCCCTTGGGAATATAGATGAGTTAATCTGTTTAGATTAACACCTCCAGATGTATGTATCCATTATCATTCGTGTTTCAAATTTTTGCTGCAGAAAATACCACTATAAGCCCAGCAAGGGTATTATTTCT